TCTGTGCAACTGCTGAACTTAAGATGTCTACCTGAAGATTTACTATTTGTTAGATCTAAGCCAGACTCGATGTTTGCCTTTGAGAAACCAGCCCCAGAGGGAGCTGAATAAAATTAAAGATGGAAAGAACACCTTGACAGAGATGAGTGGAAACAAGCTCCAACTGAACAGTGTGAGGGAGGTTTGGACAAAGATCTCTGCATGTTGGCTGCCAGGGCAAATGATGGAGGGCAACCAGGAAAGAGTGAACTGGTAACACCTGTTTGCTTGACTGGGGGACCTATGTGGAGATATCCATATGTCCACTACGCTCTCTACACTCTCACAATTTTAATGTTACATTCCATCCACCGAAAAATATTTATCTCTTTCTCACAAGTAAGAAAAAAAGTGATGAGGCTCCACAGAGGCGAAGCAGTAAGCCGTGCTGAATAACGAGGACATGTGATAGTCGGCTAACAGGTTCTCCAGCAACCATTCTTGAGCCTGACGAGGGAGCTCTTTGCCAAAGAATGGATGCCCCAATGTCCTCAACATCTAGTGAAAGTGGAAGTGATGTGGTACATTACTGAAGCTGAAGTGTACAGAGAGATACTTACTGTAGAAAATGGGAAAATTTTAAATATAAAAGGTCAGAAATCTATCAAGTAAATTTAGTAAAACCGGAAGTCAGCAACAAAGAGAACATGAATATAAACTGATCCAAGAAATGAATGAATGTTGCAGAAAATTTGAGTTATCACACATTGACAAAGCAAAGTTATTCACCTTACAATACAGATTAGATAACTTATTCTTCCAAAGGATACAAGGATATCATGTTAGATCCAGAGATAAATAGATAGAACAAGGGTATCTTATTTTCTAGACTTGAAAGGAGGGGACAAGAAAAAAAATAAAAACAATGTCATGATGGTTAATAATAGAGAATGTTTTGACACAAAAGTAATTTCAGAAGAAATTCATCAATTCTAAATTAAACTTCTCATCCTATTCAGTTGAGGATTCACTACCACTTCCTGAAAGTATTAAACAATATATTCCTCAAATTGATTTGGCATTTAAAGAAATGTGTGATTCTGAGATCAGTACAAAGGTCTTTAGGCAAAGCTCCAGGTCAAGATGGTTTAAACTCAAATTTTATCGATTTTTTCAGAGGGATTTATCCATCTTTGATCATATTTTGATTACTAAAATTGAAACACTATCTAGAATGATGCACGTAGCTTTTTCACAAGCCATTCCGAGCAATTTAATTAAATCCATTAATCAAACAAATTTAAACTTTATTTGGAAAAACAGACATCATTCTCTTACAAAAGGGGATGTGGTAAAATCATTAGCAGAAGGGGGTTTAAATGTGATCGACTATGAGGCGATGGATGGAATTATAAATGGTTACACCAATTTATATTAAACTGTGTTGGATTGTGGTTTAATATTTCTTCTAAAATATTTAATATGTGTGGTGGGATAGATTTTCTGTTAAAATGGGATTAAACTACCCATTACACTGTCTAATTTAATTTGCAGGTTCCCCGTATATTGGAAACTGATTCATAAGCACAATTTCAATCCACACAGCTCTCCAATTTGGAATAACATGAAAATCTTGTTTAAAAGGAAAACTTTATGTTATTGTGGCGGAGAGAGGTTTTTGGTCTGTTTTACATTTGATGGATTCAAGAGGGAATTTTCTCTAACACAATGAATTCATTGATAAATTCAATGTGAAGTGTACAAAAAACAATACTCTGGTTATTAAAGCAATCCCACAAGCAACGGTGAACATGGTGACAGGCATGTTTCCTTACGATATGTTAGTGCCACAGATGCTGTCACTTTATATAGACAAACTTGAAGAGGAAAAATGCACAGACAAAATCATAAGGGGGGCCCTTACATCAGACGTCTTCCCTTTACCACTGAAAAGAAAAAAATCTATTTAAAGATCATCCCTGAGAGCCTGTAACAAAATTAGAACCAGATATCTCTCTCTACCTATCTTGCCGAAAGCTAAAGAAACTTATTTAAAAATTATAAAAGATATTTATCCTTGTAATGAGTTTTTGAGGCAAAGAATCAACATTGATAAAAAATAATTGTAGGCTTTGTAGGTTTTGTGACTGATACTGAAACTTTAGAACATATCCTTTTCTTGTATTGAGACAAAACCCTTTTGGGGATTGTTACAAAAAATGGATATCTGAAAACGACTGTCAATCACCCAAATAATAATATTATGATATCAAGCTTGGAGTTTTTAGGAGGATTTAAAAGGATAGGGTAAATGATGACAATTGCCTGATTGTTATAGCTAAAAAGTTTATCCACAGCTGTAGAAAAATTTATGCCAGACCACTATTGTAGTCTCCATGAATGAGTTATCAAACTTCAAGTAAATGTATAAAAACCAAACAAGCCTCAGTTGTAACAGTAGCTGAACCGTGAAATGTACTTACCACAGACTGTACACGGAGCCGGGGATTGGCAAGGACATCTACCGCGAGGAGGGCACTGCTTCTTCTCCAGTGGTAGACGCCATCATGTCAGCCCTGTAATCACGAATGTCCGTGACTGAGTGATCATATTTCCACCACTGGTTGACCGGATGCATTGCGACTGAGTCGGAGTCTCCCCATTGCCGGTTGCTCTTTCGAAATGAATTGGCGCAAACAGTTTCTATTGGGGGGCATATAAAGTCTGTAGTGCTGCCAGTCTAGCACATTTGTCGTTAGATTTGGTGACTTTTTTTCCCAAAGAAGTCTAGATATAAACCTAGTAAACGGCTGGACCGTGTATTTGTGCCAACTTTGGTCTTAGGGTTACACCTCTACTACTCTTGTTATGGGTAGTCACTTTGCGGCCCTGAGTACCGATGTAAACAAGAGAAACACCGGGGACCGGACATAAGATAATACGCTTCCTGCAGCACTGCAATAAAAGCCCTGCAAAGAAGTTTCTGTCCACTGAAACGCTAGATGGCTTTTAATTTAAAATGGTTACAGGAAGTGTTGAGTTATTAATAACGCCAGACCTTTGAAGGCTCTTTTCCATGGCTCTAGTTACAGTCTGTTGTTATCACCAAATGCAGTAACTCTAACATTGCAAACGAGAGCGACTGAAAATGAGGCTTCTTACTAAAATACCACATATTAAACAGAGGGAATTAGAAATAAAGGCCTGCCTCAAATAAAGGCCTGTTACCTTCTGCCGTCGAGGTAAATAAAGGCCCCGACTGAGGACATACAGTTGTTGAAAACTATCATAATACAGACAAAATAAGAAAGATATTCTGTTGCTTCTAACTTTCTCTCTGAGTGATCATTTTACAAGTCAATACAGCTGGAATCACAGCACAGTCTTTGTCTTTAACTTATGTGTATGGTGTTTTTGTCAAACACTGTGGCAGTTATAAAATTTAGATTTTAGCATTGGAGCAGTAGCTTGGAAATGGCTTGGAGGTGACTGCCAGATAAAATGTAATACTGGGTTGTGTTTCAGTCTCTACTTCATTCTTGTTACAGTGTAACCCTAACCCTTAAAACAGAAAATGCCCTTACAGCCATGATGATACAACTGACCAACAGATTGGAGGGCATACATTAATCTTAATACCGATTTCTTCTGCCTTCAATTCAAACTTATTATTTAAGTTTGCTTTACCTGGATTCTTCCCAGGAATTCCCAATGATGATCTAGCAGGCATTTTGCTGGAAATGCTTCATCATGTCATTTTAGATATTTTTATCAAGCATCTCAGTCCAATTGATCCTCTGATTTCCAAGGGCACCTCTCCAATTTCTATCAACAAGGCAGGTATTGCTGTAGTGGAAAATGTCTCACTACATACTCTCAGGGCTTGAGCTTGTGCAATATCCAGTTGTTTAATCACTGTAGCGGCTGCTGAGCCATGAGCCATGCATCTATAATCAATAACTGATCTAATCATTGCTTTAGCAATGATCTTTGACTGTCCCTCAGCCCCCAAGTCAGAAAGTGGCACACACCTAAAAACATTTATGTTTTCTTGACACTTTAGTAAAACCTTCTCTGTTTTAGACTTTTTCAAGAGTCTTACTATTTATTTGCAGATTCGGATTAGGCTGTTTCTTTTTATATCCAAACATCAGATTAATCTGAAATGATCACCTGTCTAGTTTGATAAACAAGATTATTAAGGAGCAAGTTGTCCCCCCCTAACTGGTGAAATAAAATGATCACACAGAATGGGTTTGATCACACACCATAGATAAAATTATCTGTGTGTTTTAATAAGCCTTGTAACATCTCTAGTTTTTTTGTGCATCATATTTTTCATTTAATGTTTTGCCTCAGTATGCTAATGTTCACACTAATTTCACAAATGGTGCTATTAATTTCCATTCTTGGTGCAGTTTTAATGCTAATGTTTATTGTTGTTAATGCTTCTTGTTAGACTCACTTTTATTCATTTTTCTTTGCTGCATCCTATCACCATTTTCCTGCAGCTGTTGCAATGACTTAATTTCCTCAAGCAGTTTTGAAACTATTTACTTATCTACAACCTTACCTTTTTTATTCTTACTGTATGTTGTTCACACTTAACATGGATTTTCTTGCAGGAAAAAATCAATGCGCTAATGCATTCAAGGTGAAATCAATCTCATTACCACAATAACACCAAGAGCCAAATGTGGATCTTGACCGCATTTTATTATTATTTGGCTCATCAATAAATGAAACCATCCTTCATGTTTCAGTACTTCAAATGTCAAAAAGGTGTAGCAGAGAAGAATAATTTGATAGTGAAGGAGACCAATAACCCATGCAGAAAATGTGTCATTTCTGACGAATGTCTTTGTTTTACAGTTTAACGAGAAAATTGATTTTATCATGGTGCCTGATGAAAAAAACATCATCAGAACATTAAGCAAGTCTCTCTTATCAAACTGGAAATATCTAATAAAATTACATGATGAAATGAAATCTGCAACCAGTTTAAGAAAAACACAAGGACAGTCATTTAGAATGCCATTTATGTCATTGACTTTTCAAGAATCTAATACAAATGCATAAACATACATTTCACCACCTAAAACCACATATGACCACTACTGCAATAAACATCACCATACGATTAGAAAAAGTATCAGAAGTCGGCTTTCAAGCTTGGGAGGGGTCATGAAGAACCACAAGCTCACATGCTCACAAACTAGTTGAAACACATTCAGAAAGAGCATTCAGTATCTACACACACACGCACGCGCGTACACACACACACGCATACACACACACACGCACACACGCACACAGAGCTTATATAATACAGCATTAAAGAAGAGTGGCTGTAAAAAAGGCATGTGGAGGGAGGGAGGGAGTGTGTTACAGTATACAGTAAGTAAGGGGAAAAGGGTAACAGCCAAAGTGTACATAAAACACATTTTTTACAGTTAAGCCAACTTTACTTAATATAAATATTCTTCATCCAAAAGTCAGTGCAGTGCCTTCTGCTCAGGCTTCACCTGGTCCTCATGCCCGGTCCACTTTACACCCAGTCTGTGCTAGACCTGGTCCACAAATTACTGTTTCCACTTTACACACAGCTCTTTTTACATCAGTTTGGTCTCTGATCTCCCATTTTCTCTACGGTTTGTGTGTCTGTGTATGTGTGTGTGTGTGTGTGTGTGTGTGTGTTTTTTTTGCCACCCAGTACCTCAAAAGTCCAGCTGTGAAGTACAAGAGTTTGTTTTTCTACCTATTAGCCAATAGAAAAAAAGATCAACAAATTTACAAGTGTCTGTTTTAGTCTTATCTCCTGAAATCCCTTTTTTAAAAAAGAAGTTCACACATGGAGCAGCTCTACTGGATTCCCCTGAAGAGACACATTGCGAAGACCATGGCGAAGAGCTGATGAAAAGGAGAAAAAGAAATTGTTAGCACACAGAAAAAGACACTGATTGTTTTTATAAAATTATGACAAGTGTGATACTAGAGCAGCTGTGTGCCACCTGCAAACAAACAAACATTTCTGCTACGTATACTGTAAGATCCATAGAGTAAAGAGGTTCCATACTTTTTTATCATAATGTTAGTTTAAGCAAAATTAATTTAAAAAAAAGAAAAGAAAATTAAAACTACTTTAAAACAGTGATACATGATTTAATGTAATTTTTTAGGACATTATTGTGTTTGCATTAGTGCAGCATGGATGTGAGATTAACTGCTGTGCTAAGCTGTGTGATGCTAAAGAGGACTGTTTTATAAAAGGCAGCCCAGTCAAATCTATCTTCTGTAGCACCAAGTCTCACCACTAGATGGAGATCTTGCCATACAAAGCTTTCAGATAACACTACGCTAAAGTCAGGGAAACAGGGAAATAACTTCAGCTTAATGCTGAATTCCCAACTTCTGAAATGAACATTATCATTACTGCAGAGGCAAAGCAAAAGTAGCATATGTGATGATTTGACTAAAATGGAAAGCCTTCATACCTCAATGGTCAGCACCACAATGGCGAGTGCTCCAGCCACATAGATGTACAGCTCAAAGTAGTCAACTACTGCAGAGTAACAGCCCTGCGGACACACAAAAACATGGCACTCAGCAGAGAATCAATAGGCTATAAACTTGCGGAATTACAGGGACAATTAAAGTAACATCACAGCTTTAATTGAGTGAGGCTTTGAACAAAGGCCTGAGTGAATGAGTGGGAAACGGGGCCTCCAGCCTCACTGCCTTTTAATGAGGGTTCTTTGTGTGAATGAACAGACAGAGACACACATTGTGGATATCTCGCATTGTTCTAGTGGGTTGAAAAACAACAGGTGGAGAGTGCAGTAAAAACCTTGTCCTATCAGCTTTCACTGTAATTACATTTCACTGCAAGGCTTTCTTTACACCCATGGAGGCAGGGATGTGGCTATGCACTGTGAAGCACACCTAATTTCCACATATTCAAATACTTATTATCCTCTATTTTTGCACACATGCATGCTCCAAAAAATTCCAATTTACCCATGTGTACCCACACACATACACAAACACACACAGACATGCTGAGATACATACATACACTGGTTTCTCCACACTATATCACATAGTAAGATGGTCTCCCATGACACCCAAAACATGAAAAAGCACTAATCAGCCATGGAGGAGTCAGCTAGTCCCTGGATGTCATCCCTCAACTATCTCCTGCTCTAATTAAGCCTAGAAGTGGTTTGGAAGGAGGGAGAAAGACAGAGAGAGAGAGAGAGAGGGAGAGAGGGACAGAGAGAGACAGACAGAGAGAGAGAGAGAGAGAGAGAGAGAGAGAGAGAGAGAGAGAGAGAGAGAGGGAGAGAGAGGTTGATGTCAGTAGATGTCAGAAGTTACCTTGTTATTGCGGAACATCATACTGCCTGATAGGCACTGCTCCTGGCTGATATAGGCCAACTCCCCAGTCTGACTGGCACGCTGGCAGCAGGCTTCTGGCACCATATGATTTGGGTTGATCAGCTTGAACAGGCTGTCCTTAAAATCCTCTGGGCTGTTCACCCCACAGCAGTCAAACTGAAGGGAAGAGAGAGTAGCAGGAGAAACCCTTATTGCTGAGTGCCTATTTGTGCACTGGCCTGTGTTCCACTGCGTGTGCGCAACAATCCAGCATGAAGATTGACCTAAATGTCTGGGATTTTTATCTATAAAATATATCCCCCCGACGCCAGACTGCAACCGGACTTGATGAGTTGGTAAAAGCTACAGTATGTGAGCTCTTTGCCATGTGCGCTGTGGCCTTACTGTAGTCATGATGGCATTCCATGTGGAGGTGAAGACGTCAGTGTTGTTGTAGCCCTGATAATGTCTCTTCAGCTCCTTGGTGAAGTACTCTCTGGTCAGCTAAAGCAACAGCCAGAGAGAGCACAGGTTAGTGTCACCACAAAGATAGTGTCTGTTTCTCTCACATCAGAGAACATCACTGGACACAAAGGCTGGGTACCATTTTAATGGGGAAGTGCACTGATTACACACATAAAAGTCTGTTTACAGGTCTTGGGGAGTGCTACTGCATATGTGGAAGAAATTGTATGAAGATTGTTGGATAATGTCAGTGCCAATGATGACATCTCTGGTTCTGCTGCATCAATTTTGATCCCTTTTTTAAAACTGTCCATTGTGAGTGTGACAATGTTGTCGGGATACAATGCTAAAACTGCGAAGTAAACTGGTTAAAGCACAACACATACAATGATGTCTGAATTAACAAGATTATGCTCACAATCAGAAACTGTCTGGTCAAAGAATAATTTGTATAAATCCAATCAGGCAATAAATGCCAGATTTTAGTACTTTGATACTCAGTGCTGTGGACACATTTTAGTATTACATTTTGACACTCAGCCCTACTGAGCTCTGCTGATCAAAGGTGGAGAGAACACTTACATGTTCCCGGAATATGAAGGCCAGGATGGCAGCAGCTAGCTCCGCTAAGAAGATGAGGAGGATGAGCATGAAGAACTGCAAGAAAACAAAGAAAAAAGGCAAAGACTGAGAGATAGAGTAGGACATGTATCAGAAAAAGTGCTCGTCAGTCACTAAAAATCACATTTTGGCTGTGCCCGCTTCACTCAGCATTAACTATGCATGAGGCTCGAGGCATAAAGGCAAATAGAAGGGCATTTGCTCTTTAGGCTTTCTGTTTCAAGCATGACAGTCCAAAAACTGACAGACAGAATAATCAACACACATGCACACAAACAAGATCAGTAACAGAACTACATTTTAAATTTGTTGGCCAACTCACAAAGAGGAGCAGACACTTGTTTTCACGGATGGCTCCACAGCAGCCAAGGAAACCCAGAAGAAAGAGCATGCCGCCCATGCCCAGGATGATGTAGACACCGGTGAATAACAGGGGGTTGGCTGCTACAATTTCCCTGAACCCTGTGGGGTCCACAAGTACCCACACCCCCACTCCCAGGAGGAAAGAGCCCCCTAGCTGATGAAGAAAAGGGAAAGAAGACACTAGTTAGACAAAACAGAAATTGGCTGCATTTTAAAAATTAATTAGAACTCAGAGGACAGCTCAGCGTCCCCAGTGGCACATGAAACATTCAACAAGATGTCATATAATGGAAAATAAATTTGTGCTTTTTTAAAGGACAACATGCTGGTAATGTGAATCTCTGAAAGGTTTGGGTGAGAGCTGAGGGAGAGATAAAAGGCTGGGTATCTACAGAGCCACAATGCCTCGGTGGGGCGGGTGGGTGGCTGTATCTACCCTGCCTCAACTAACCCCCCTACCTGCTAAAGAAATGCACAGCACTGCAGTCCCCATCCTCTCCCATCCTCCCTTTCACTAAAACCCTATCTGCAGCCACTGTAGGGTGACTCATGTGATTAAGAAAAGAAGGTATTGAAGTAACGGGGTGGGGGGTAGTAGTGGTGGTGGTGGTGGTGGTGGGGGGAACCTGAGCCACACACACTTCTACCACAATTCCCTACTTCCTGTTACGGGGAGAGACCTGGGCTTCTGCAAATGAACACCACGTCAGCTGGGAGGCAGAGGTTGTGGTATGAGGAGAGGGGGTAGCCATTTTGAACGCTCAGTGGGCTTGAAAAATGCTGTTATGTTACATGAATGTGACATGGCCATAGAAAGACAAAAAAAGAATTGCAGTGGAAAAACAGTGGTTGTTATTGAGTGATACGAACAGCCAAGTTCGCTCTATGCTCTGCTGGTTGCATTATTACCTCAGCCTTGAACACCCACGTCTGAGTAGAGTCTCTAAATGGTTTGGTTGCGCTTAATAAAGCAGGAAAAGAGACAAACCCTCTTACTCTGACCCCCCCCCCCCTTTACAGGCTCAGACTAACAGGATTACCCTTGATTGTCTGATCAAGACTGATAAAGTCAGGTGCCAGTCACAAACTCCACATGGCACAGTGTGCCTCAGATGTGTGTCAGCACACTAAAATCTAATCAAAAGAGAATTTGATAGAATCAAGATTGCCTCCGTCTAATGAAATGCAAATGTGGCTCCATTAGTCAGTCGCGCAGAGGGCAGCCAGAAGACCGTCTTAAATCTTTAGATTGACACTAACTTCAGAGATAGCTAAATTAAGTGTCTTTGAGGGAGAGATGAGAAATACTTACAAAGATGAGGAAATTGAAGACAAACATGAGGTACTTGATGCAGCTGAGACAGTCCCCCTCCATGGTTGTCCCTCGTGCTGAAGCTTCTCCCTGCCCCTGAGAGAAAACAACATAAAACGTGCCACTTAATGAATCCTGCAAAATGCTCACAGTATTCCCATTCTCCTGCACTCTGGATAGGCACTTAGATGAAACTGCCAAGAAAATAATACTCTGTAAAAACCTGCTCACATTGTTAATGAGTTCTGCCACTCAGACATACAACACACGCACACACATGCACACAGACACAGACAGAGACACAGACACACACACACACACACACACACACACACACACACACACACACACATACTGCCTTGTCAGTTCATTTGGTCTAATTCCAGCAAATCCCTGTATTATCTCCTCAGGCGCACTGTACCAGCTATAGTTTCTCAGCAACCTCTAAATAACTACAAGTCTGGGCTACACAACCGAACCTGACACCACTCATTTTACCACACATCGCAACAGCTTTTTTATTTTCAAAATGCACTTTTACAGTCAGAGAGCCTGATTCCCTATCAGCACTTCCCGTCTCCGGACAGATGGGGTCACTGGGTTCAGTTCAGTGTTACTCAAGGGGCTGTCTATCTCAGAGCATTTTAAGGATATGAGTCCTGACTTGCGCTCCACGCGCATTAACTGACAACGTATGGCCTTTACTATGAAGCTTCTTCTTCTTCTTAATGTAATGAGGGGCAGGAGGCCTGTGCTCGCATCAGGCAGACCTCTATCTGACATAAACACACTTTCCCTGATGAAGGCCTGCCCTGGAAGCACTCCTGGTTAATGAAGAATGCCTCTCCTGCAATAGGAGACAACATGGGCGTCTCAGCATCCATGACCCTGTACACCTATATATATTGGATGCATCACAAAGCTTTCATTGAAGCTTTTGTTAAACCTACCAGGCTGCAAATGAACAAGATTATCCCCTCAGGGAGGATAGGAATCGTCTAAGGATTCATCTCTACACATTCTGCAAAAACTGAAGTGGAAACAATCTGTGGGGCAGCTATAATTGTAGTCTCTGTGAAAGAAGAAAATTAATTATTTGGCAGAACTGAATCGGCACTCTTTGCTTTGTAGTTATGATTATTAATTTGCTCTCCCATAGTGATAGTCAGGATTGAGGATGGGTAACAAGCGGATTAAAAAGTGATTTCTCTGAAGAATCATAAATAGGTTTACACAACTAGACAAGTACACATGGCCACCTCAAAACTGAAGAAAAAAAACATTTTAAATGGCTTCCTTTCCCTTCTTTTGTCTGTACTTTGCAGCATGTCTGTCAGATGTAATCTCATAATCTTTAGGCAGTCTTTCCACTGGCTGATGTACTGTCAGAGGACTCCTCTGGGTGATCTCTCTGCTTCTCTGAGGCAGCGGTGAAGCCCGGGTTATGATCGACGCCAGCTTTGATTCCTGTCTGTCTTTGAAGGGGCTCTGCTGTCACTCAAATGGGATTCAGCCTTGACCCTTTCACCCTAACTGCACACAATCGACTCAGAAATTCACACTGTCAAGTGAAATAAACCTTAACCTCACCATACTACTGTCTTAAACGAGCGCTGTTCAGCTGGTCATTGCATATTTTACACAGAAATATTGCAACTACGCCAGTAAGAAAGCCATAACCCATATCTTTTCCTTGTCAGTTCCATTTTTATTGTAGTATGCTTCCAGTGGTTTGTTTTTCATTCTGCTCTTAATTTCAATGTTTTTCTTTTTTTTTTTCATCTCTCTGTAGGCATGTGTAAGTTGCCGTGACAATACAATTGAACAATACTAAAGATGTGAAGGCAGTCTTTGTCTGCTGTGGGAGCGAGTTAACATAGAATGAGAACATTTCCTCCCCTCACCAGCCTGAGGGCTTATTATTTTTTTTCTCTCCTCCTTTCCTCCCCAGACCCAGGGAAATTGATTTAGAGCTATGGTTAAACGCCTCCTCTAAATCATAATGATATGCTTAGGTATTGATCACCGTCCTAGTGGTACTCTGAGAGCAACCAACAGCCTCATTGCCCAAGATGGGTTTTAATTAACCCCTCCCTTTCCTAAGCCCCACTGAAAGGCCTAATGAGGGCACAGGAGGTCTTAATTGAGATTTGCATACATTAGAGTCTCAGAGAAAAGCATCAGAAAGGGCCCTTTCTCATCACTCCTGCTCTCCACTGTTAGTCCTGGGCCCCTATGAAGACTGCAAACTGTATTTATTGGAGCTGGGGATGAAAAGGTGGAACGAGGAGGGGGGGAGGATGGGGTTTGCTGGAAAAACTCTCAGCTCTCAGCTCACATGTCATTCTCCAAACAAAATGTCTGATTTCTCCTCCAGCTTCACCCTTTTGCTCTTCGCTCTCATCTCAGGGTCAAACCAACTATCAGATCTGGAGCCAATTTTCTTTTATGCATTAAAATGCATTGGATGCTTATGAATGGAGTGGACTAGCCGAGCTCCAAATAACAAGCCTATGGTGCAAACCGGCATCGTATAAATCAAACTGCCACAGAGACCCCAGAGAAAATGCAGAGTAAACAAACTGGCCATTCCCATGACTCCCATGGGATCACAGGTCCTCATCGATCACAACCCAGTCGTAGAGATCAGACCACTAAGTCTCTCTGAATATTCTGCAGAGAGCATTATGTAGACAAGGGAAATGTGGTTCACACCCCAGGAGCTGCTGCTTTACAACATCAACAAATTACTACCAGATTAAAGGCAGATCCTCCTCAGGTGTGCTGCTTTGCTAAGCTAGCATTGTGCCAAGATAAGGAGTTGTGTGGCATTGTGTTTGTATAGACTAGCAAAAAAGCACTCATTATAAACAAACATGACACACATAGCAGCAAGGAATACTGCACCACTATCACTGCAGACAATGTGTTTGTTAGCATGAAATACTGTATGTACGTCCTCAATCTGACAATCTAAGTGGCAGTCTTTACCCTGAGGTATCCAGTAAATGCCAGCTCCATCTACTTCTGCAGCGTCTCCCGTTACTGACATGAAATGTCACATGATCCCATTGTTTACTCCCGGTGAAGACTGATCCACAGCCAGCTTGGGCTGTGAAGTCTGGCATGGTGGAGTTTGATAGTGGTATTAATGAGAACTGATCCTAAATCAACTTCACAGTGCCGACAGAAGCCAGAGCCCTGTAATGAGGGCACACTCATCTGACCTACATTCTTCTCAGTGTAAGGATGAGGAATTCTGAAACACTGCTACGGGCCTTTCTTCATGCTTAACTCAGAAAACCAGAGGTCTGTCTGGCCAGCATCTACACCACCAACCATGATGGTCATGTCAACTCACTGTAATTATAAGATAAGGAAGACATAGACCCACATTGAGGATGCTCCATATAGAAATAGCACACCCTTGGGTGGTTCTCCTTGAAGTTGACACTTTTGGCACGATTAATGAAGTGAGTCCGTATTCCCCCTGCTCCACTAGCCCCCACCCGGACAAATCTAACAGCACGACAAGGACACTGTGTCTGCTCCTCGCTAAACTGTCGCCACCCTCTGCATCCCAAATAAACAGCCTGTTCACTTCCACTTGAGTATGAGTCTGCATATCAAATAATCATTAATGCTGAAACCCTGTTGAGATTATAAGGGTTGGAGCTTGACCCTTTTAAATGTCATTGACCCTCTAAATGATCACCTGTAATTGAACCCTGGGGACGGTGCAAATCGTCCTCTGACTCCCTGATGCAGCTGGAGCAGGTGTGTTTTTCCATCTACTGTATACCACTCTTAAGATCTCTCCAGAGTGTGCTAATGCCCTCTGACAATGACACTAAGGGACCACACACACGCAGCATCACTCTTTATCTCAATTAAAAACCCATTTTCATATTTTTCCATGACTTCCTAAATCAGCCACAGCAAGTAAACACCCCAAAAATCCGAATAAGGACAGGCTCCTCTGGCAGTGAGCAGGGCTCCCCTGAGGCACACCATGTCCCTTAATGAACCTCCAATTAGGAGAGAATGAGCCCTGGGCTGCGCTGTCACACTGAGGAGCTTTGAAGTGCACTGAATGCTAAACAGCTATAGCACTGTATGCTGCTTTAGAGGGCATACAGCTTGCAGACAATAGGGAACAACCACAAGAGAAAGTGTACGAAAGTAGCTCAAAGGCAACCCAGCTCACAGTGTGTGTGTGTGGGTGTAGCTCACACAGAGAGCAGAGCATCCAAACTCAGCCGGGTCAGAAAGTTCAGGAAACTGCAAGGCTCGTTGCAAAGGTCCGAATGCTGGTTAGATGCTCAAGTGGAGACATACAATGGTGCATCTCTAACCCTCAGGCAGGCTTAGCTTAATGAGTTTTCACAGCACACATGTAGGATTGGTGAACATTATCAGCATCTGCACATTACGAGCATTGCTAGTTCACCACAAAAAAAAAAGAAAGAAAAAAAAAAGCAGACAGTCACTGATGAATTCGCTCTGACTTGCAAAGCCATTTATCATTTAAGTCCATTGTTGCGATACGTGCAGTGAATCTAAAGCACTTCTTATCTGAGCCTGTGAGTGGCGCTCTCCTGACCTGTTCAGTTCGGAAATGAAATGAGATTGTGTGACTCCCCGAGGGCAGAAGTCCTCTGACCAGGCAGCTGACACACTCCTGAACAACAGGCTGATTAACTAGAGAAGACTCCCAGAATGAACAAATGCACACTCAGAAACACACTGACCATGTGTTGTCAACAGCACTGCGGGCCACATTCTTGACATCCCAACTGGGCGCACAGCCAGCTGTTGGTTCAGTACTAACAGTTGCTCATACTCCTACAGTGAAATCGATTCACCAGCTCCTTAGATAAGAAAGATTGGAAGGGGGGAAGGGCATTGATAGCTGCTTGGTTAATTCAAGCAGAGGACATGTGATTGAGATGAGCAGATTTTTTGGCTTCTATCGCACACTGCTGTGTGTGTGATCCTCACTCTCTCAAAGCAGGAGATTCCCACTTAATTGTGTCGGCACCTCTATCTGGCTGAGTGAAGATACAAACTGGCCGCGCGGTGCTGGATCAATAGCAGGCCCAGGCACATGGTCAATGATGCATTGATCCCCTGGAGTTCCAGCTCTTAGTCCGCTGGTTGTCTGGTAGGGAGTGAATGTGGTAGCAGCACACAATGAACACATAAACACTTCTTCACTGCCGCCACCAACGCCTGGTAGGACTCAGCTCGGGCTTTTCCCACGGGGTGCTGTGGAGGATGACACATTGCCGTTGGGGCTTTCCACAAAAATGAGTTACAACTCAATTTCAAAACTACATGCAATAATTACTGTGGCAAACACAGAGGGGAAATTATCTACTACACTTCTACTCCTAGTTCTGCCCTCTTGTCTTATTCTTTCTTTAGTGGGATTTTCTGCAGCTTCCTATGATCTTAGCCAAAATCCTCTTGCCATGTCAGAGTCATGACAAGTTGAATCAATATCAGTTACTTTCTTGACAAAAAGTTTGAAAAACCCAATCAATAATCTCACCAGCCATGGTTTTCACCAGTGTTTGACCCTCAGGCAAGAGACAATTAAAATGTTGAGGTTCTCTCCGGACCTTGTTTTAAATACTGTTCAAGTCGAGGTTGCTGTCTTTGGCAAATCTCCATATAAAGAGAGTTTACATCACAGATGGCCTCGGCAGAAGCAAACATAGGGAGATTCAAGGAAAGACAAGACTTTCAGCCTCAGGGGACTAAACACAAAAGGAACATAAAGTACACAGACTCACACACACACCCACCCACAAACTGTGTGGGTGGGTGTGTGGGTGTGTGTGTTGTGTGTGTTGTGTGTGTGTGAATGAAACAAATGATCAGAATTGTGAATTTCTTATGGCTCAAATACAAAATTTTGTGTGGTTTTTTTTAGTACATGTTGGAATCTTTCCAGCCCTCCAATAAGGAGGCCGGTCTCCACGGCAACCCGGATGTGGGGTGAGAGTGGCCTTTGTCTGCAGAGCCGTGTTTGGCGTCTCCACTTAGCACCAGTTCCTGTTAGAAAACAAAGGGGAAGCGGAGCCAAGCACTTTGCGACAGGGGGACGGCTTGGCCGGCCATTTGTCTAATGAGCGATCACTCACACCCTGTTGCAAGGCCATATGTTAGTTTGAATACAGCAAGTTCCCCCTTGTAGAGGACCAAAAAGCTGTTTTATCACTCAGTGCTGACTCCATGCAGCACTCACACACAAACACAAATCTGAACCTTCATACACTCAGCTAAAGTTCAACGAACGGAAAAAAAAAAAAACAGCAAAAACAACTGTGTAACCTACTTTGTGTTACAGGCCGGGGTTTCAAGCGCAATTCAAAGATCAAAACAAAGCCTTGAGGATAAAGCTTGTGAATGTTTGTGCTGTTGTGGGAGCCTCAGATGAAAGAGATACCCACATATATTGGAGGCCCCACTGCAAATACCAACTTCATAGAAATAAACCAAAAGTGTGTTAATGCCTTTGCATGAACAGTGTTGCACAAAATTCATGATTCTTTTATTGCACCTTGTAATTTGCTGCAGCGGAAGAACCTTGTACTGTACGTGGTTATTAATGCAACTCTGTGATTATGAGACTGCGCGATACTGGAGCTGCTTGGTTGAGGACGTGATTGCTTAAAGGATTTATCACAGAATTTATAGGATAATTTTGGTTTATTACAACTTGGGGACTATTTTGGACAAAACAATCTCACCATAAGGTTTATTTAGAAGCTTTTCTGGAGCTTTCCATCGTATCACACAATCTTACTCGTCAGATGGGATTTTCCCAGTTGCAATTGTGAGTGTTAAGATTTCCATTTCCTTCTAATGAGATTGTTTTGCCAACAAGCCTACTGTTTCTAAGATAAAGAAAGAACTTCAGTCTCAGCTTTGCATGAAAAGCATGGCAATATTTCTTCAATTTGATTAATTTAATGATGGAGCAACAAACATATGCAGACTAACCACTTTAATTTGAGGTAAAACTGACAGTGAACATCCAAGAACATTTTGGTAAAACTCCTCATTGAACAGGAGAACTGTAGTGTACCACAAAGTCTGCCTGTAAAGTGTTTGGGTAATAATTTTAACTGGCCATCTTACTGCTTGTGTTTCTTAACTCTGTCTGACGTCTTTTTAAGTGCTCACAGGTCTCAGCAATTCATTAGGTGAACACAATCTTATTATCATCAATAAAAATGAGCTCCAAAACTCAAATTGTAATAAACCGGAATTATTCTTGAAGAAAATATTGACAAAATTGAAAACGGCTCAATATGCTGGTGATAATCTTACACATCACTTGCACATGTAACACACACACATTTATTTGTCTGGTCGGCTGGTTTTACGGCTCTGTGCTTATGACTGATTACAGCTGATGTGTCTGGGTCTAAATTCCCCTTTAACCTCTCAATCTATACATGTCTGCTGCTCAGCCGTGCCTGGAATACTAATGTTACAAATGCCAATGCAAATCAGAGGCTAACAAAGACCAGCGCCGGCCTGCTTTGATGGTAGACGAACAAAAGCACTTGTCTGCCTGTTCAGAAGACCAGCTTCACGCACCGGCTCTCGCCAGCACCGCGCCTCCTGTTGACAGTGACAATGGCTCTGTGCCTGTACTGTCAGCACCTTACTGAAAAGAGTCTATCAACAAGCTCTTTGGGCTATTTCTCTCGCTGATTTAACACGTGTCTGCTGGAGCGGAATCACTGCTGGATTTGGTGAAAATCATTCATGGTAACACCCCCTCCATTACAGATGCTGTGGGAAAACTAAACAAAAAATGTTTCACACATACTAACGTACCATGTGTATCTGTTTGTGCCTCGTCTTTGTTCAGATGAAGCTGATGACTTCTCTCGGTTTTCTCTCCCCTCCCGTTTTCATGGGCTGTTGGACAGAAGCACAAGGGAAGAAGCAGAGGTCAGGACTGAGTTAATGAGATGAAAAAACATTGAGGCACCAGGAAGGAGAAACAAAAGTGGCACAGTTGTCTTGGCGTGCGTAATTCATTTAAGTAGAATAAGACTGGGAGCTCGAAAAACACAGAAAATAAAATTGTAGGACACTTAAAATGACCGAGTTTGCATTCATTATGTATGAAGCACTCGCTCCCAGCAGTGAACTAATCTAAGACTGCAACAGTGTTTTATCCGTGTGAATATTTCACTTCTCAGCTGGAAGGCAAAATTAACAAGGACAGAATTTAAAAAAAGAAATTTACTGCCTTTAATAGTAGAAGTCTAGGCCTGTGTTCTGCGTAGGTAAGATTTTCATTCTAACAAGACTTGAGAATCTGTGTATCTTCTCACTCAGTTAATAATCATTTATTAGAAGACCCAACACACCAGTCTCCTCATACAGCTTCTGACTTGACCTTGTTGGGCGTCTGAACTCATGCATTATTCACTGGAAATAAAATACCTTGCTTTCTTACCACACATTACTGGCTTGTATGGTACATCTCTAACCAAGTGTGTCTAATGAGCATAAATGCTTTAAACTTTTTCCCTGTTTCTAAACTGCTCTGCGGTGTCTCCCAGCTGAAAATAACGATATAGCAATAAGAGCCAATTAAACTGCTGATATTCCAGCCTCTATGTGCAAAAATAGTCAGCAGCACAGTTTTGACTGACAATACTTTGGAGCCGGTTTCAAAGCACTGGCACTGACAACTACAGCATCAAATATGGCGAGAGCTGCCTACGGAGGCATGAACAGCATGCAGCTCTTGCCACATTAGATGGTGAAATACAGGCAGTGTATTCTCATTCTGACAGCGGCTGCGGATGGAGAATATCCCAGGAGTATTCTGGCTGATGGAGCCCCAGCCACATCATCCCGCCGACACACCATATTGCCAGCAGACATCAGATTCACCAGGACGCAGAACCCAACTGACAGTGGCAACCACACACCCTCCCCCCATACGGAATACACACAGCCCTGATTACATCTAGAAAAAGGCAATCAAAGTCTGAGGGAGAAAACGGAAAGAATTTGAGAAGTGGAGAGATGCGCTGGAATGATACACTACCTTATCACACAGCCTTGAATTCAGACTCTACAAAGCACATGCTTAGGGAATCAATAACATCTCCACAGTGGCTACACTTGCATGGGGAGCCAAAGGATGCGCAGCTCGTTGAAAGAGTCATTTACAAAACATTCACCATATGGCTTAGCAAGCATATCCCCAAGCAATACAAGACTGTAATCCCTTTTCATTTTGTGTCAGCCGGCTACAACAGCAGCAGCAGCAGCAGCAGCAGATAGGTGCATAATCATAATAGTCATCATCATCATCATCATCATCATCATCATCACCATCGTGTCTGTAATCTGGTACTGAGCAGCAGAGTGGTCAAATTTTATCCTGAAGCCTGTTGCAGAGGTAGTCTATGGTGAACCGCTGTTTAGAGAGCTATTAGCTGGTGGAGAGCAACAGTGTTGAGGGTCTGCATTATTTTTTTGGTTTCCATGGAACCCTTTTTCACGGGAAAGTGGAGCACCAATAGGATTGCAGAGCCTCATTGAATCGGTTATGGGGGTGAGAAGAGAGATGAGCGCAGACGGCTGAGAAGGCACAACAATAGGACGAACCCTCGAGGGAGACGAGAAAGGCCAGGCCACCGAGGGTCCAACAAAGCGGGGGAACGACTCAACACTAGAGAAAAGGTTTCATCTACATCTACTGAATGGATTTCCTTTTAAATAAATCTCCCTCGCCAACTTGTCATTGACATTTAAGCTCACGAGCACCGTGAGCAATTCAAACATCAAGGCAGGCAGCCACTAATTGATTAGCCTCTGCAGATATTTCAGGCTCTGACATAATTATTGCATCACCAGCATCTATCCTGTGTGCTAGTCAGTAGCACATTATAAATTATGCCTTTCTACTTACATTATATACTGTAGTTATCCCCCACAGTTCAATTCACAGTAGAAAGAGCAGAGGAAACTGAAGTAGCCATAAAACAATAAGAGGCACCAGTAACAATCCAACAGAATTGGATTGTTCCATCGGATGATCGAACAGTTTCTCAAATCCCCTTCCCCTACACCCTTCCAATGCAGGAATATCTGTAACTATTTTAAGGGGACAATCCAACATTCACTCCCACTTCACCCATCGACTGCCGGCTGTGTCGATGTGGGAAAATAAGCAAGGTTTAAACTTCTCTCTCAAGCTCTTTTTTCATTCTTTAAACAACTATTTCTGTCACTTTTAGTGTAATGCCACATATCAGACAACCTGCGCCTTTATCCTCATATTTACATGATATCATATCTCGTCCTTGTCTGTGACAACCGGCTTTTCACCCCCACCTTCGAGTCTGGTCAGCTGTAAACACCTCAGCCTTCAGGCGTGGTCAGACGTCAGGTCGTACAAACTGATTCCTTTCTAGCATACCTCTGCCTTAAGGGGTCGGTATGCCTAAAACGAAATGCGTGTCGAATTATCAAACTGTATCTGACCACTTTAATACTGGAGGGGCTGCATCCAACTGTTGTAACTTTTTGAAGCAGACAATCCGTGAAGCATGTCAGCGTCATGATGGAAATGGCCAGGTGTGCAGAGGTGTTTTTCATTGTTCGCTGCTCTTACTTTTCGCATTCACAGCCGAGTGCGAGAAAAACAAATGACTGCATGTGCCATCTGTACGATTCTTTGTGTCTTGGCCCCTCTGTGACAGCAGGCTTTTCTCCTTGCCTTTGAGTGTGTCATAAACATTTTTGCTTTTTGTCAAAAGAACACGTTAGTTTGGAGCATAGCCAAGCCTTTACTATGGTATATGTGCACTACTGGCTAGGGACTCGTCATTTTTGTGTCTTCTTTGCCTCCATAAGCCACCACATCCTGCCAATCAGACGGGCAACCTTGGCTAGAATGTCAGAGGTCACACAACAGCAGGCACACAGCGACACTTCCTCTGGGGACAGGAAGTGGACAGGAAAATGAAGGGGGAAGTGACAATTCTTCCATCTATACCTCGCAGCTGGGTTTGACCTCAATTTCTCACCAGTGTTGACAAAAGCAAACCTCTGAGCTTCAGAGCCAACATCACATTTAGAGAAAATAACCTATGGGGCCTTTTACGCCCTGAATCAAATCGTTATAAATACACTTAATAAAAGGAAAAATCTACAGCGCTGGATGTCAACTCTCCCTGGTGATCTCCAGCCAGCTCCTGACACAGTCCATATACATCATGTTTTAATATCATAGAAATAAGAAATAGGGCAATTGCCGGCCGCCATATATCTCCTGAGCGTCTGCTTTAATGAGGGCAATGCTGAGGCAGAATTATCGCCGTACCCCATCTGGATTTATCGATCTAACAGTGTGAGTCAACCACCAGAGATAAAGATAAACCGCCACGATGGAGAAACAATCCTCACTCTGATCAGAGGGCATCGCACAACTAATCACTTACTCTCCTCTCTCCGGCCACAGCTAACCCACTGGTTCCTTTGTTCTCCGCACTACAGTAGGTGCTCTCGGGGTTACACACCAGTATTTACTCATCTGAAGCACACAATTATTCCAGCTGAAAAATGCAGACTGAACTCATTACACAGTCTTCTGTTTTCTCAGTGTTAATCGTTTTGGGCTAAATGGAAACCTGATAAGAATGCAGCCCTGGGAAATGTGGTCGGGGGGTGCTATTTTGACGCTGATGAAAGCTGACACTGTCCACCTCCTTAGTAAATCACAGGCAAACATTATCCAGGCTTCTTCTCTTTGTAGCAGGCTCCTCAGGCAGCACCCTGAATCTCTCACCTCTGCAGAGATGCCATCATCAAAGTACAGTGCGTAGTGTCTTACACAGACCCTTTCAACCATCTGCAACCTGCTTCTGTAATTACACAACACCAACGACTCTCTAGTGACACCATGATGAAGAACAGCAACTCGACTACTTGTTGTTATTTTCTTTAACCCGTGCCTGTCTAATTCAACTAACCACCTCATACACCACCACACTTTCACCCTACTTCCCAGGCCCCCGAGGCTAGCCCCGTGTCTCTGAGGAGCCAGGGGCCTGGGGGGCATCACAATACCGCTTTGAAGTTGAGCGATTAAAGAGGAAAGACCTGTCGAATTGGGATGATGGGGCTATGGTTGGGAGAGGGGGAGGATCAGCGTGAGGGACAGGAAAGGCTGTGAATACTGAGTGCTCAGGGCCCCGTGGGATACAATTAAGAGCAAGGCTTTTTTAGCGAGGGTTACAAAAACACAGTGAGGATACCAGCAGTGCAGCCTTCCAAGCCAAGGTAAGAGTTCATTACTACATACACACAGGGGGCTGGGGCTGTTAAACTCTCGCCAGTTTGTTCACCAACTCCCCCACCTACAGGCCCCGCGAGCTGCCGAACAGCCACATGATAACCATTTCCATCCCAGTTAAATCCTAAAGCCCAGTAAAGCTTGAGAATCGTGCAGCTTACGGCTCACAGAGCCTCCAACTCAGAGAGGAATAGAGATGAAGATCCAAGCTGTCTGCACAAAGAGGAAGTTTGCATGGAGTCGTGCCTCAAGATGCACCCGCCAGTTTAAACATTATGAGTGCACAGAAGACAACGCACCAGGTCTGCAGTAAAGCCAAATGAAGAAACTGAACGTGCAGCGAAGTGTTTTACGAAAAAAGTTATTGAAATAACAAGAGCTGCAACAAATCATTGTTTTCATTATTGATTAATCTGCTGATCATTTTGTCAATTATAATTTAGTCCATAAAAATTTTGAAAATTGTGAACCTGCATATACAAAACTGGACCCAGACCTGTTTAGACCTTCTCTAAACAAAGTATGGCCATTATAGTAAAGTATGGCAGTTACAACACAATAAACGATTGCTGTATTTGATGTTTTTGTATGTCAC